ATAAAGTGGATCCAGAAGTTGTAGCCCGTCTCTGCCGACAATATTTAGATATTTTTCACCCTGTTGGTGGTTTTACTGAGCAGGTGCCACTTTTGTCATACGTTTCTTTTTAAAACATGTTTAGACTGTTCAGAATACAAATCCAGGCTCTGTCACGTTTGATTGTTGTAATTAAACTTTGTAGGTGGGGAAGGTCAGAAAAGGATCCGATCAATTTGTTTTTCCCTCATTTACAGCGACGGAGGTAACGGTGCAGTGCGCCTGGCTCTGGTAGTAATCAAGTTAAATTATATCTCTTTGCAACAATTTTCACAAGAAAACAGAACAGTTAAAAGCAGGGCTTGTGTTGTGTGGACCGGACAGTTCCCGTATTTGACCGTTTATTTAGACGGAGAAAGAATAGAAAGAATTACCCCGACGCATGCAGACGAAGTGACATTTTATTCTACGCACATCGCAGATGTAGCTAAATCACTCATGAACAGATTCCCATCTGAACATCTGAGATGGACACTGCTCAGCGCAGCTCACTGTCAGCATGTACTACATAAGGTCCACAGCGAGCTGAAGATGTACGGCTCTCTGTGCTTGTAAAATAATGAATGGATATTTAAATAAAATGCTTTATATTTTACTGAATTAATTTTACATCTGTAAGCTAATTCTGGAACAGGAAACAAGCGCTATTCAGCCAAAGTTTCGTCATCAGGGAAAATTTTCTAAGTCACAAGTCTCTCTGAGAGACCGGGTTTGGAAAACTCTCCCTTCAGTGGAAGGAATCTTCCCGCATGCGCTCTGGTTCTGCAACGCGCTCCAAGCCCCTCTCCACATCTTCAGCTCGCTGTGCGCATATGTGCTGACAGCGAGCTGTGCTGAGCAGTGTCCAGCTCAGATGTTCAGATGGAAATCTTTTTTTGAGTGATTTAGCTACATCTGCGATGTGCGTAGAATAAAATGTCAGTTTGTCTGCATGTGTCGGGGTAATTCTTTCTATTCTTTCTCCGTCAAAATAAACGGTCAAATACGGGAACTGTCCGGTCAACACAAGCCCTGCTTTTGACTGTTTTGTTTTGGAGACAGGGAATTATTGAGGAGTATACAGAAGCAACTGAAGATCAAGATCAGAGACAGCAAGGAGGCATACAGGAAGAAGCTGGAGAACAAACTACATAGGAACAATACCAGAGATGTCTGGTCAGGGATGAAGAAGATCACAGGCTTCAAGCAGAGGAAGGATTGCACAGATGGCAGCCTGGACACAGCCAATGAGCTGAAGAAGTTCTTCAATAGGTTCAGTTCAGGAACAAACCCAGCATCCTCCTCGCCTGTCCCAGCCAATCAGACATCCCATCCTCCTCTGATCCAACATTTTCCTGTCACACGCCAGCTCTTTTGTCCTCTAACGCAGTCATGGACTCTTCTGGTTCTATAAATCCGTCTTCAACCAAGTCAGGAGATGCTGCTGCCCCATTTACCTCCCCCTCCCACCCATCTGTCTCTGTCATCAGTCAGGTGAAGAGGCAGCTGGAGAGACTGAACAGGAACAAGGCTGCAGATCCAGATGGTGTCAGCCCCAGGATACTGAAGACCTGTGCAGAGCAGCTCTGTGGGATTCTGCAGCACCTCTTCAACCTCAGCCTGGCCCAGGAGAAGGTTCCAGTCCTGTGGAAGACATCCTGCCTTGTTCCAGTTCCAAAGAAAACTCGCTCATCAGTCAATGACGACTACAGACCGGTTGCGCTGACATCCCACATCATGAAGGTCCTGGAGAGACTCCTGTTGGTCCACCTGAATAAGCAAACTAGAACATATCAGGACCCGCTGCAGTTTGCTTATCGCCATGGAGTTGGAGTTGAAGATGCCATCATCCAGCTACTTCAACCAATCCACTGTCATCTGGACAAAGCAGGCAGCACTGTGAGGGTCATGTTCTTGGATGTCTCCAGTGCATTTAACACAGTTCAGCCTGATGTACTTTGCCAGAAACTCCAGAAGACACAGGTGGGGGCCTCAACTATCACCTGGATTAAAGACTACCTGACAAACAGACCACAGTTTGTGAGGCTGAAGAACTGCACATCAAACCAGGTGATCAGTAACACTGGAGCACCACAGGGGACTGTACTCTCACCATTCCTTTTCACCCTGTACACCTCAGACTTCCAGTACAAATCAGAGACCTGTCATCTACAGAAATACTCAGATGACTCTGCAGTTGTCGGGTGTATCAGAGATGGACAGGAAGCTGAGTATAGAGAGCTGGTGGAGTGCTTTGTGGCATGGTGTGGAAACAATCATCTGACCTTGAACGTAAACAAAACAAAGGAGATGATTTTAGACTTCAGAAGAAACAGAGTGGAGTCAAACACTGTTTCCGTCATGGGAGAAGAAGTGGAGGTGGTTGAGGAATACAAATACCTTGGAGTTCACCTGGACAACAGACTGGACTGGAGAAAGAACAGCGAAGCCGTTTACAAGAAGGGACACAGCAGACTGCACTTCTTGAGGACGCTTAGGTCCTTCAATGTCTGTAGCAAGATGCTGCAGATCTTCTACAAGTCTGCTGTTGAGAGTGTAATCTCTTCAGCCATCGTCTGTTGGGGTAGCAGCATCAGAAGCAGGGACCTGAAAAGCCTCAACAGCCTAATAAAAAAGGCTGGTTCTGTTCTGGGGACGACTGTGGAAACACTGGAGGAGATAATACAAAGAAGGATTCTCCAGAGAATCAAGAAAATGATGGACAACCCTGAGCGTTCTCTTCACAAGACTGTCCGACAACGGAAGAGTGTCTTCAGTCAGAGGCTTCTTCAGTTTGGCTGCAACACTGACCGCTACTGGAGATCCTTCCTGCCAACAGCCATTGTAATATACAATAACTCTTTGACGACTTTATTATTATTGTAACGTGAGGATATATGGGTTTTCTGTGCAAAAGGTTATACTTTGCTGGCTGGGTCAAGAGCTGGGTCGCTGAGAACTTTCACCCACAGATTAAGACCTGAACGCCAGCGAGTCTGGGAGAAACCATAACATCTGAACACCTGCAGTGCCAGAAGATGTGTTCCCATGGAAAAGCTAGTCCTAACATAACAAAGTTAAAAACTTCCTTTCCTTTATTTTAAGTTGTTAAATGATCAGTATTATCACTTTGCTCATTGTAAATGTGTTTTAATCAAATGAATGATTATTATGCTTTGGTTAATCATAATAACTAATGAATCAATGCTTAAGTAAATAATGTTTGAAGATGTTATAATGACCTTCACACACACACACTCTCTCACAGTAAACTCCAAAACACATTTGCGCTGACGCACAAGTTTTGCTTTGAGAAGAGAAAGGCTTTTGGTAAGTTTCAGTCTGATGATTCAGTTCGAGTTGGTCAACGAGAGAGAGAGGACGTGTGAACAACCGCTAACGGGGGAACGGAGCCCACCGGCTCCTTTCTCCCCCCCCCCCCCCCCCCCCCTCTCACGCTGTTCCTGCCAAGCCAGACAGGACAGCTGAATTACAACCGCTAACGCAGACTCGTCCCGAGTCTTTTGATTTTCTGAGTAATTAAACTTAAGAAAGCGCATCTGCAAACGCTTTATCATCAACGTGTACCAGGGGGCATCTCTGGACCGGACCGGTGCACACCTTTGTCTTCTCTGCCAGCCGAGGTGACCTGGATGAAACATCGTCCGTTGACGTTCCGGATCTGAACGAGGGTCCTCGTAGGGTGAGGCAGTCCACGATAGATAGCGTTGATGCATCTTTTCCAACAAAACCTAAGTTTATTCAAACCATCACTTTTCACTCAGACACCTGTTTCTTCCTGAAGCAAAATCAGACGCACACACGCATTCGTCTCACCTTATTCTCAATTTTCTCTACATTTTGCACACACGCATCCTTAATCACATCACTCTCAATCTTCAGCACATTCAACACAAGGTCTATTTGAGCAAGTTTACAATATCAACTGTTAAAGATTGTTCAACAAAGTTGCCAATGTTGATTGTTGTTCCTATGCTTGTCATTTCAAAATCATTAGGTTAATTTGAAGAATTAAATCTTTTAACTTTCAAACTTGTCTCTTCATTGAACTGAAACACAGACCCACGGATATTATCGACAGTTTATCGATGAAAACAACCTTTGAGTCTTCTTAAAACTATGAAATATGTAGGATGGTTCCTCTTTCATAAAAGAGCATAAACCATTACTCTACATAATTAAAAGAGCCTAATCAGGTTCACTACATTTTTATTATTCTGAGCTACTACAGCAATCAATTTTCCTCTGGGATTAATAAAGTATTATTGAATTGAATTGAATGAACTACTCGTTAGTCCCTGAATAGAACCGGTGGGTGAGCACGTACCGGTTAATACCCATTAGTCCCTGGTTGGTGTTTATACCAGCACGTACCAGTTAACTACCCGTTAGTTCCTCTTTCCTTACTCGTTTCCTCCCAAGTCGTTTTGTAGTGACGAAGCACAACTTTGGGTCCCTTATTGTAAAGTGTTACTAAATCATTTAAAACTGCTGTTGTTACACCTCTCTTTAAGCTTATCTTATCATTGTGTCCTTGGGCAAGGCACTCCACCCTCCTTACATGCTGGTGGTGGTCAGAGGGACCGCCAGCGCCTCTGTACGGCAATCTCGCCCTGTCATGCATGTTTTCCATGTTTCCCTTCCAAACCCCCATTTTTCCCTGCTGCCACACACCTGACTTAGATAAACGAGTGATCAACAGGTATCTGCAGCACATGATGGACTCCTGAGCAGCCAATGTATTCGACCTCTAGGTGTCATATGTAAATCAGGTGTGCTGAAGCAGGGGCATGGAAAACATGTAGGACAGTGGGCCCTGAGGACCAGGGTTGGTGAACACTGGTGTTTGTTTTAAATGTTAAACATATCAGTGATTTTCAAAGCCAATTCATTCAAGATAAATTAGAAACTAAATATAGAAACAAATGAAAGCTGTTAAATGTGAAGTCATGGTCACTCACCGAGTCCCTGGAGGACACCGAACCGTCCCTTCTTGTGGCGTCCACGTTGCTCTAAACAGGGCAACCCACCGACATGAGAGAAGCAGAGTTTCTTATTGATGAAGAGGAAGAGGAGGGCCAAGGCCACGATGAAGACACCCACCGCGGACAGGAAGCCGATGGCCTCTGGGGTGACTGGCAGGAGGAGGGAGAGCGAGAGGGGACATACAATGACACACTGATCAGACCACACAAACAGACAGCCTGATACACACACACACATGCGTGTGCACACACACATTCACACACACACATAGTACGCATGGTACATGTGATACACACAAACACAACGAGTGCAGATTTAGTAAATGAGTTGTCATCTGTGGTTCATTAGAGCAAAAAGCAACAAACAACCCCAGACCAGTTGGGCTGAGCCAGCGTGTCAGATAGAGTAGAATAGAGCTCAATAGAGTCCAGCTTTACTGAGATGGATCACTCTCTACCATAGATGATCCATCTAAAGAGACTGCATGCTCTCTCCAACACTCTTAATACTTTTCTGTGATGCAAACAAAAGATTAATGATCAACATAACCAGAACTGTGATGAAATCAGCTGATAAAAGACTTTAGTGTTAGACACTGTTATCTTCCTGGGGCAATACTTGTTACCATGGTAACAAAGGTTATAGAGGAGAAGCTTGCCACTTTCCAGACTGCCAGTGCATTCAGATGTGTGCTTTAAGGAGTGTCATTTATGCCTTTTGTGACTTTTTAAACTCGATGACAGGTATGTTAGGGAACTTGGACTGATGTTGTTTTACTGAGGAATGAAGGGTTGCTGAAAATCTGAAACAAACTTCCTGCAGCATTTCTGCTTGAGGACGTGTCCTTGGTTACCTGTTGTGTGCAGGTAGTCAGGCTGGTCTGTGATAACCTACTGAAGTCTGTACTGTGAACCATGCAAGAGTGTAATCTACCCACAAAGTTCATCCAGCTGACACCCTGCAGCTGGCAGCTTAAAGCTGCTTTAGCGAATCTACAGAACAAGCTAGGTGTTACGTAAATGCAAGCACAATCCTGGGTCACTCACCCCTCCCCTCAGGTATCTCCCCTGAGAAGCTTCTGCCAGAACTGGAAACCTGCATTGCCAGAGTAAACGAGATAGCGCTAAACACCAGTCGCTGTTTTCTAGGTCCAAACGCCTTTTGTTGTCAGTGACTTCAAACAGTTTTTCTTTTTGGGACTCTAGTAGTTTGTCCTGAAGCTGAAGTGGTAGCAGCCGGCTGTTCCTGCTTCGCTGATACTGAGCAGAGAACCTCCCACACCAGTGGTGTTCTGTTGCTAAATATGTGAGTGGAGGACCCGAGGAAGTGCGGCAGTTCTGCGAGACCGACAACAGCATGGTCCAAAGGTTGCTGTCGGTTATTGAGGAACAATTGAAGTCTCCAGACATTTTCACACCAGTAGACATGAAAAGGACTGGATTTAGCCGGTTTATGTTTATGTATTTAGCAGATGCTTTTGTCCAAAGCGACTTACAAGTGATAACGAAGCCAGCAGGTTGCCCTTGAGAATTGCGGAGAGCGCACCGCGCGCTGACCGCACCGATGCGGGGAAGTCACCGGAGGACAAAACAAGTGATGCGCTCCGCTCCGCAGTAGTGAAACGCATCAGGCACAAATAAAAGACAGAAATCATAAAAGGATATGAACTGACATAAACAATTGCGTGTTAACTTTGTTTTTGAGGTGGCGACACTTTGAGAATGTTACTGTGGTCGTGCTCAGGACGCATCTGTCTGGAGCGCATCAACAATCAGAGCTCTGCACCTCTCAGCTCTAAATAATCCCTAGAGTCCACATAGATAATGTAATATCAGTAGAACCAGGATCTTTTTCGGGCTCCCCCTGGGTGTGGAAGCTGAGGGCTTCCAGGGGAGGGTCATCTTTTGGGGTGAGCCGGGCTCCCTTTAGCTCACCCGTAATTCGAACCCTTCGTATAGCACAAATTGGTCGTGTGAGTTGCCGGATCCTGGCAGACAGTTGCCGGGACGGTCCTTTCAAAATAAGACAGTTCCCGGATCTTGTTCCTGCAAGATCCGGCTCAAATTAAGCCCTGGTTATTCCTATTTCATGCTAAGCTAATCTACATTTTTAGATTGGGTGCTCTATCTTACAGGATGTTGTAATGCTATGACTGAGTTGGAGTACATGGAAGAGCTCGACAATACAGCCAATATTTGTACTGTTACTGGTTGTGCAGCACCAGGCTAAAGACCAAAGGTGACAGATCATCTGCTGCTGTGGCCCCCAGACTCTGGAACTCTCTCCCCCTGAGCCTGAGATCAGTGGACTCAGTGGTCTCCTTTCAGAAGCAGCTGAAGACTCACTTGCTTTTGTGTGACCGTCAAAACCATCCTTTTCTTGTTCTGGTCCTATTCTGCCTTTCCCGCGATCCATTGAGTCCCCTCTTTCCTGTTTATTTTCTTTTTCTCTTTCCTTACATATTTCCTTTTCTCCTTCAAAACATATTTTTAATCATTTTTGAAATATTTTAATACTTAAATTTTTTGGTTTTATTTAGGTGAAGCACTTCGTTGCGCAGCAGTACCTCAACAGGTCGAGTGGGTTGTCCAGTAATCGGAAGGTTGCAGGTTCAATCCTGGCTCCAGACAGAGAATCCTGCTGTTGTGTCCTTGGGCAAGACACTTAACCCACCTTGCCTGCTGGTGGTGGTTGGAGGGATGGTGGCACCTGTGCTCGGCAGCCTTGCCTCTGTTAGTGTGCCCCAGGGCAGCTGTGGCTACATCGTAGCTCATCACCATCAGTGTGTGAATGTGTGTGTGACTGGATGAATGATACACTGTAGTGTAAAGTGCTTTGGAGTCCTTACTCTGAGAGGTGCTATACAAGTGCGGGTCATTTATCATTCATGATTTTTAATCTTGAGAGGCGCTATATAAAAGATTGTCTTCATCTTATAATAATAATAATAATTATTATTATTATTATTGTTATTATTATTATTATTGTTATTGCCAAGCTTCTGCACAAACTGAGGGAAAGATGGAGAATTTTGGAATTTATGACTAGGAAAATCGCAATGTCAAGTTTCATGACTTAGTGGACTTTGTTAATAGACAAGCCAAAGAAGTACTGCATCCATTGTTTGAGGGCATAAAGGACACAATGTCAAGGTGTCAAGCTATAGGGCAAGTGGATGAGAGGTTGCACAGCAAAAGTGGTACTAGGAAAAGCTTCACCAAAGCTGCAACTATCGCCAGTAACCAAGAGGCTTCCCCAAAGCCAAAGAGTAAAGTCAGTGGCAATCAAGTCTGTGCGTTTTCCAAACCCTGTATTTTCTGTCAAGGTGGCCAGCATGCTATGGAATAAGACTCTTCATAAAGACAAAATAGACTTCCTGTGAACAAAAGGTCTGCGCTTCAGCTGCTTTAAACATGGACACGTGAGTAATGCATGTAAGGAGAAATTAAGCTGCCAAGCCTGCACACAGTCACACCCAACAGTGTTACACATCAAAGTGAGACCCGGTACTATAGAGACAGAGCTTGAAGTGGAGTCACGAGAAAACATTGGAAACCCTTCAGAGTCCATTGTGAATGAAGATGTGGGAATGGATGGATCAACTACTGGTGCTGAGAGTACAGAACACATCTTAGCAATAGTTCTGGTTCCAGTTAAACACAGAATGAGTCGAGTAACCCAAACATATGCCTTTTTCCTAACCCTAATCCTCAACCGCCTGCTTCTGCACTGAAGCGTCAAGGACAGAATTATATTTCGCTGGCAGGGAAACACGTATCTTACTGAAAACTATGGGAGAACAAAAGGTGGTCAACAGTCAGATTGTTTCTAGCTTGGAAATAACCCTAACCCCAATAAGCAGCATCGATTACAATGACTTTCTAGAACTCCCAGACATGTTCAGCCAGAGCACCATCCCTGCATCTGTAGTTAACATTGCTACACTAAATGTGGCAAAGTGGAGAAACGAGGGCCCGGGCGGGATTCGATCCCCAGACTCCCGGGTGAGAGTCATGCGCACTTACCAGTCAGCCAAAGGGACATCCCCTTGGCCAAGTAGTCAGGGTGCATGATCAATCAGGACACTGTGACAGGACGCTCACACTGCCACATAAGGTATGTGAACAATTGGACCCATCTTCAGCAGGTGTCTATCCCAAAGATTGATGCAAAAATTGGACTCATTATAGGCACTAATGCACCCAAAGCTATTGAACTCTGGAAGGTCATCACAAGCAAAAATGATGGTCCTTATGCTGGTTAAAACCAGGCTTGGCTGGACTGTCAGTGAACCCATACATGAAGACACTTCTAATAAATCTACTAGGGACTGATACAAGTTTCAGCAAACCGCATATCAGTCAGTAGACTAGACAAACTCTGGACTCAGCAGTTCAGAAGTGACTTTCCTGAATGTGAAAAGGAAGACAAGTTGGAAATGTCAAGGAAAGATCTGCAGTTTCTCGACATGGCAACACTGTCAGCTACCCTGGTGAATGGACACTACAGTATCGTCCTGCCACTGCGAAACAAAAACATCAAAATGCTCAACAATCGTGAAGTTGCTGTACAACGAGCTTTAAGTCTTAAGTGGAAGTTTATCAAGAACGCTACATATCACACAGAATATTCAGCCTTCATGAGAGACATTATTAGCAAGGGCTATGCTGTAAAGGTACCCAACAAAGATCTCAGCAAACACAAAGGTAAAGTCTGGTACTTAGCGCACCATGGGGTCTATCACCCCAAGAAGCACAAACTCTGAGTAGTCTTTGACTGTGTAGCGTCGTACCAAGGCACCATTCTCAATAACAAACTGTTACAAGGGCCAAACTTTACTAGTACCCTACTTGGTGTCATTACAAGGTTCAGGCAAGAAGTGGCAATCACGGCAGATGTGGAAGCAATGTTCCACCAGGTTAACCCTTTGATGCATAATGGTCACTACAGTGGACAAGTACTCAAAATTGTTATTTATTTGTTTTTGCTACTAAGCACAGCTGTTGAAGACTTTGTTGCATTTGAGCCCCTCCATTTGGACTTCGGTAAGCCAAGCCAACATATTTCATGCTCAGAATGCACACTGTCCACTGAGGTGGACATGTAATAAATTATTTGTAAATTATAAAATTTTACAAAAAATATTTGT